GACGAACTTAACGGACTAAGCACAGATGCAGACGATGTGTCTGCAGAACTCGTCGGATTTCGCTCACTTTTCACGTGGATTGACGAACGTGCAAAACGTCCAAAATTTCTGGTTCGAACATTCTGACCAAACCATACACTTCCACTTCAATCATTCACATTTACACAGAACTTCATCAGTATGAACTTGTTTCGCTCGTATGAAAGGTCAAATTTTCATCAATTGCTTCGTGAAAGAATCACAAACTCGAAGCAGTTCGTAATAGTGATGGGATGATACGAACATTGCAAAGAATGAATAGCATGAATTAAAAGTATGACCGAATTTGTGAACATAAACTTTCGAGCAGTAGAGTGCTCACTTTTGACTTTAAGTTACAAAAATAATTCAATTCTCTAACCTTCCATCAATAACTATCACACGATCATTGGCTTTCAATTCTAAACTTAATTGTTGTGTTGATAAACATTCTTCACGTGCTTCAGCTATCATAAACTTGATCTGTAAATTTATTTTACAAATAGATTGAAAACTGCTCCGTAGATGTGAACATGGATCAAAAATTACCGAACAGAACAGAAACAATTCTCTAAATCATTTTCAGATGAATCTACGACTACCGTTCAGCTACGAATAAGTCTGATTGACCGATGAGTTCTTCATCTTTAATCTACAGCAGGATCATTACTGTTTTGGTCATTTTGAAATTCAAAACAATATTCCAAGGAATAAGAATTCACCACATACATCAGAAAGCAAGCTTCTGAGTAAACTGAATCTAGGTCGGTCTTCTGCTTCTGGAAGCCAACACGAAGACATCAGATCATAAATCTCATTCGAACATCGTAACGGCCGACTCAGACGTTCGCCTGCCTCCGTTTTTGTCAAAACCTTCAACATATACTCAGTCATTTCATGTCCGCAGTAACCAACACCATCATTAAAACACTCAAACGAATCAATAAAAAACAAAAGCATTGCAAAAAATATACCTCAGCGCCTCTACAACCGGCCCATGGTTCATCTCCGTACGAGAACATTTCCCATAGAGTCACACCAAACGCCCAAACATCTGATGCATGTGAGAACTGGCGTTTTCTCAGAGATTCTGGTGGACACCTTAAACGATCAACAACTACTAAATAAACGCCAACACATTTACACACTATCGCATCTTCTTAATTAAAACACGAAAAGAGTTCAAACCTCACAAAAGACATCATCGATAGATAAAATAACGATAACAAAATAACAAAACAGAAGACACTATCTCACCATGCAAAAGGAACTTTCTTCTGTGCAGACATCACATATAGACGTTCATTATCTTCCAATGCTCGCATTAAGCCGAAATCACATATTTTGATCGTCTGCAATAGTGTCACGATGTCATTTGATACAATCACATATCACATATTGGAACAACGAATTCATTTCCAAAAATATTACGTGAAAAATGACGAAGCAAACTTATCAATGATAATCTTCATTATTAACGGAAGTAAATGAAAAAA